CCAGCTCAGGGCCGCTGGTGTCCGTGAGTGCGTCAGGCATGGCTCGTTGATAAAGTCCATCAGAGCAGTGCACGCATGGAAGACTTCCAGCTCACCAGCCACGGAGACAGGAGACGGAGGGCATGTCAATAACATGAGCTTTGAGTCGGCTGCCTGAGTAAAACAGGAATTTTCTTCACCCAAGTTTCATTTACTTTAATAAGTCAAACTAAAGAAATTCCAAAAGTTCAAGCCAACACCAAATAGGTAGGCTATTTGCCAGAAAATACTTTTTAAAAATGATTTATTGGCTGGACATGGTGGCTCACGCCTGTAATCCCAGCACTTTGGGAGGCCGAGGTGGGTAGATCACGAGGTCAGGAGATCGAGACCACCCTGGCTAACACAGTGAAACCCCGTCTGTACTAAAAAAAAATTACAAAAATTTAGCTGGGCGTGGTGGCAGGTCCCAGCTACTTGGGAGGCTGAGGCAGGAGAATGGCGTGAACCCGGGAGGCAGAGCTTGCAGTGAGCCAAGATTGCACCACTGCACTCCAGCCTGGGTGACAGAGCGAGACTCCATCTCAAAAAAAAAAAAGATTTATTATTTTATTTGGCTAAGAATTTCATAGGATGCCTGAGTCTCATGCTAAACAAAATTTGCACTGAAAATAAAAATATTATTGTAAAGGTTTAAAAGAAAATTTGTGAATATACATATACTTACATTTATTTCAAGGAGAAAAAAAGAGAGAAGGTTTTACCAAAACTTAAGATATAACACAATAAGCTCATTATTCAGGGAACTGTCTATAAATTCACCAGGATTGCTATGCAAAAAATGATAGGCCTGTAGGCTCTGAACCAAATAGCTATTAGTTTACTATGAAATGAGAAAATAAATGACTAAGAATAACTGAGGTATGGATCATCATCATAAATTTCTTTAGGTGTTTTATATTCATTTACAGCAGACAGTTTCTGTAAAATACCAAAATTTATAAGAAGAACAGGAAACGTGGCAAGCCCTTCCAGATATTTACAAGGCTACATCTTCTGAAGCCTAGTCATACAGTTCATAGGAAGAGCTTTGAAGCCATAGAGTTTTAGGTTCAAACCTCAGCTCCCTCTTCAGCATGTTGCTTAAGCCAGGGGAACCTCAGTTTCCCCATACACAAATGGATGTAATATCTACTTTACATTTATAATATATATGTTGTAGTCATTCAATAACTTGTATTTTTAAAAATAGTATAGCTGCTAACAGGCAATTAAATGTTCAGAGATGGTAGGAACTGGTTTTGACTCTCAGAAGAGAAGAGGAATTGAGGTGGAAAGGATAGGGGAGAATGAGTCAGTGAGACAGTGTCACCCACAGTGCACACAGGAGGGGCTGCCAGGGACATATCCAGAGTGGGATGACTGGTAGGCAATTTTTTTTTTTTTTAAGACAGAGTCTCACTCTGTCACCTAGGCTGGAGTGCAGTGGCATCATCTTGGCTCACTGCAAACTCCACCTCCCAGGCTCAAGCCATTCTCCTGCCTCAGCCACCAGAGTAGCTGGTACTACAGGCACCCACCACCATGCCCAGCTAATTTTTTTATTTTTAGTAGAGAGGGGTTTCACCATGTTGGCCAGGCTGATCTTGAACTCCTGACCTCAAGTGATCTGCCTGCTTTAGCCTCCCAAAGTTATGGGATTACCAGCGTGAGGCACTGCGCCTGGCCCGGCAGGCAAATTTTAAGAACCAGAATGCTGGCTGAAGGATGGGCTGGGGGGACTCAAAAGGGCAAAAAGGAAGAGTGGGGGTGATGTCATGGTCATTTAGCTTGGTTAGGGCTGGAAGTAAGACAGTGGAGTGGAGGACAGAGAAAACACGAGAGCTATTTTAAAAATAGGATAAACAGCCTAGATGTGGAGTGTGAAGGAGAGAAGAGGGAAGGGTCAAGGATTTCTGGGGTGAAGGAGGCAGTGGGACTCCCAGCAGGTAGGACTGTGTCCCCCAAAACTATGTTCAAGTCCTAATGCCCAGTACCTGTGACCTTATTTGAAAATAGGGCCGGCCTTTGCAGATATCATCAAATTAAGATGAAGTCTTGCTGGAATAGGCCCTAAGTGGGCCCTAGGTCCAATGATTGGCATTCTTAGAAGAAAAGAAAATGTGGGCCCAAACACAGGGATAAAGGCCACGTGACAAGGGAGGCAGAGACTGGAGTGATGCATCCACAGGCTAAGGACCAGCATAGCCCGCCAGCAGCGCCTGAAACAGATCAGGTGAGGACGGATCCTTCCCCAGAGCCTTCAGGGAGAGCGTGGCCATAACACCACCTTGGTTTTGGACTTCCAGCCTTTACAACTGGGGGAGAATACATTTCTGCTGTTTCAAAGTCACCTACTTTGTGGTCGTTTGTTATGACAGCCCATGGAACTAGTCCAGGGACCTTCACTGAGATAGGAAAACACAGAAGTGTGAGGTTAAGAAAGAAAACTAGGTTAAAGCACGTTGAGCCCAAGTAAGGAGCCTCCATATGGGAAATCTTTGGGTGGAAATGCGCGGAGGCCACTCGAGCCTGGAGCTTAGGAAATAATCGTGGCTGGAAATGGAGATCATGGAGGAATAAGGGGTGAGCTGGAGCTGGACTTGGGTAAGGCCATCCAGGGAGAACAGGGGGAAAGACGAGAAGACAGATGACGGGAACTTCTCCGAACAGTTCTTGGTGTTACAAACTTGACATCCACATCTGAGGGAAAGTGATGATGTCGTCAATAAGGCAATTCCAGCTGAGATACTGGTGAGTATATTTATTCTCTAAACACATTCAGCCTCCATTGTTTCACGTTTCTCTCCTAAGAGGAAACACCTACAATCCTTTCTCATGTCATGCTTTCCTTAATAGTATTTCTTTTTTTATATATTAGGTAAAAGGCAAGAGGAAAACACCACAAACTGATCAGGAAAGAATATTCATTCGCCTCAAATACTGATTGAGTCCCTCCTTGACTGCAGCCAGGGTGATAGGCCCCAGCTACACTGTGGACAAGTGGACAGGTGCTGCACTGGGCAGCCGAGGGGCAGAGGTCGCATGTCCAGAGGCAGGTGGAAGAAGCCTGCAGTGGGAGTGGAGATAGGTAGCAGGTGAGTCAGGCGAACTTGGCAGGAGCCAGAACAAGTAGGGCCTTGTGCACAAGTCAGAGGTTCAGAGTAAGTTTTCCTAAGGGCAACGAGAAACCATGGAATGGTTTAAAGGGCAGGAGCAGTACAAGGAGACATTTGCATGTCAGAAGACTTAACATGTGAAAAGCAAAACTGAAAGGGGCAAAATGCATTGCAAGGACATCCTTTAGGGAGCTTTGGCTGCCATCCAGGGAAGAGATGATCAATCCCCGAGATTACGGACGAGGCAACTGGGATGGGACAGTCTGGGCAGCGTCTAGATTTCCAGGAGGTGCACTTGATGGCAAGATAAGGTGCTGAGTTGGATTGGAGGAGGGAGGACATTAAGAGGTGAAGGATGTCAAAGTCTGGGGACCCCAGGTGTTGTTTTTGAGCAGGAGCCGAGAGCAGGCTCCAAGGGAGGCGATGAGGTCACCCGTGCATGTGTTACAGGTGAAGTGCTTGTGGCACGATTAATGGGAGAAGCTGCCGAGCGAACAATTTGATAGTGGACGCCCTTTCTGGAGTTTGGAGAACTGGCAGTCTGCAAGGTTCCTGAGGTCCCCTAAGGAAAGCGTCTGGACTGAGAACAGAGGAGAGCCGACTTGAGATGAATGTGCACAAGGGCAGAGGAGCCTGCCCAGGGGACTGCGAAAGGACAGTGTCAGAGAGAAAGAGGCAGACGCAGCCCAAAGCGAGAGGACCCCAGGGAGAGGCCAGCCAAGCTGCACTGGGCTTGGCAGCGAGGAAGAGATTGGGAAAGAGCCTTTCCAGGGGAGTGGAGGAGGTGGAGGCGTGTTAGGAGGGATGCAGGAGGGAAGGTGGAAGTTGGGCTAGAAGTGAGAGGCTACAGCTGGAGGGGATACCCAGGAGAGAAAGCATCTTTGTAAGTGGGACAGATGTGAGCATGAGTGGGCTCCATGCTGGCGGGAGGGAGCCGTAGAGAGGAGGAGGTTGACGATAAGGAGCGGGGCTTCCAAGGCGAAGCGGAGGATGAGGCGCAGAGCACAGATGGGGCGATCTGCCTCAGATGGGGGAGGAAGGCCCTGCCATCGTCGACCCATTTGTCTGCCTTACGAATGGCCCCGTCTGCAACAGAGCAGTCTCTGCACGCCTGCCGGAGTCTCCTTCCTCTGGCATACTTGGGGAAAGCTGGGAGGAGTGCCGGATCGCATTTCCTCTTGCGTTGGTCCACGCTGCAACCCCCCACCTCTGAGGCCTTCACATCTGCTGTGCTCTCTGCTCTCTTCGCTGCTCATCTCCCTTGAGACGCAAGATAAATCTCATCTTCTGAAATGCGCTCTTCCCTCCCTGACGGCCTGGGGAGAGGGAGGGAGGGAGGGAACACGCTTCTTCCTACTGTCCCGCCCAAAGCAGGTGTGAGGCCTGTCTTTTATTTCCCCCTAGTCCCGTGAACCCAAGGCCACTGGTCACAGTGCAGTGATGAGGCGCAGCACCCCTGTCTCGCACTATCCCAGTTTCAGGGAAGTCCTCACTGGCTCTTTCCTATGGCTGTGGAAAGACAATGGGGAAGACAGTTCAGTTTCCCAGGGCCGACTGTGTTGCTGATCGACACAAATGCCTTTCAAAGACTTCAGTGAGGGCCAGGTGCAGTGGCTCACGCCTGTAATCCCAGCACTTTGGGAGGCCGAGATGGGTGGATCACTTGAGGTCAAGAGTTCAAGACCAGCCTGGCCAACATATAGTGAAACCCCATCTCCACTGAAAATACAAAATTAGCTGGGCGTGGTGGCACACACCTATAGTCCCAGCCACTTGGGAAGCTGAAACAGGAGAATTGCTTGAACCTGGGAGGCGGAGGTTACAGTAAGCCGAGATCGCACCACCACACTCCAGCCTGGGTGACAGCGCGAGACTCTGTCTCACAAAACAAACAAACAAAACAAAAAACCTTCAGCAGCAGGCTGGCTCTTGCTGGGAGACTGGAAAGTTTTTAAAAAATCAGGACCCAATCCAGTTTTCTTTCAGAGAAAGAAACCAGATCTTTCTCCTCCAGGTCAGTCGTATGCCAGGAGGCTTGGCCCATTTCCCCTTGGTACCTCCACTCCGGTGGCCAACACCCCCTCATTTTCCTACCATTGGCTGACTTTACAGTCCTGCAGCAGTTACCTCCATTTCTTCCCCAATTGCCTTTTACACTTGAAAAGTCAAGATGTTTTCGGAAAGTAAAGAGCAGTCTCTCTCTAAGAGCAATTCTGCACTCCTTCTTAGAACAATTGCTTCCAACAGTAGCCACCTTCTGTTTTCACAAATTTGCCACCAGCACAATTATAAAAGGGCAGGGTCGGGGGAGATGGGGAAGACTTATCCTCCCATGCCTTCTATTTTCTCTACTGAGTAGGAGACAAGATCACTTGCTGAAAAGTAGGAGAAAGATGGAGAGTCATGTTTGAGGAGTGTGGAGACAGTCCTAAGTAACTGCTACTGGGAATGGAAGAGAGGATGAAATGAGGAAGGCTGGGGACCACGGTTTGGTAGTGACATTGTCTGCCCCAGATGAACTCAGCACCCAGGTGTACAGACTGGGAAGGTAAATTTAGCCAGAGTTAAGGTTCTTCTAAGTGGATGAACAAAAGGAAAATGGGAAACTGGAATTTAAGTTTTGGCAAGAGGGAAGTTGAAAAGCCGGCCCATGGAATGTAGCTGGATGTGTGAACTGGGACCCTTGATTTTGAATAATAGAAGCCAACCCATACTAGTACAAACAAAAAGGGAATTTAACTGCTAGTAACTGGGAAGCACAGGGGTGACAGGAGCTAAGGGCTCAGATGGCATCATCGGGTCTCTCCATTCTCATTCCACCATCCAGCCTGGTGTTTCTCCATGGGCAGAATGAGGGAAGGCCATGGTCACAAGAACTCCCACTTGTATCACCCCAGGACAAAGCCACAGAAAATGATGTGTTCTGTCTCCCATTGTGGATGAAAAAAATCCGGGGGGAAGACTCTGATTGGCCTGGCCTGGCTCACGTGATTACTCCAGGCTCGGAAGGTGGGCACTCAGGGGTGCAGCCCACAGGTCCTTCAGTTTCCAGTGGGGAAGAAGCTCTCCCATCACATCTTGAAGAAAGAGAATGTTGCTACTAGAAGCAGGCACCAGAAAGAAACAACATCCACCCACTTCAAGAGAAGCAAATGAGGACAGAAGGAGGCTGAGAGATGGAAAGAAAGTAGAAAGCAAAGAGCCTGGTAATGGTTCCCGGTGGGGTGGGGTGGCCAAAAGTCCCACGGGCCTCTTAGGATGTGGCTTGGCTCCCATGGGTTTGGGTTGCTACAGGAGGTCTGGTCTCTGGTGGATGAAGGATGGTAGAGTTGCTGCAAAAGCAAAGACATTGGGATCCAGTGGAGCCAGATTAGAATCTCAGGTATGATATTTACAGGCTATGTGCCTGAGACAAATCCTTCACTTCTCTGAGGCATCCATTCTTTATCTGCAGAAGGGAAATACATTTACATTGTGGGATGATCAAGGGCATTAACCAAAATCGGATATTAAAATTCCTATAAAGTGTCTCAGTGCAAGCAACCAACAAATATTAGTGTCCCTCCCCACTTGAAAATTCAAATTGCCACGCCCATGAATTTCCTTCAAATTCTGTTACATAATGACCTGCTAAAGGAGGCAAAAGCAGTGCTGCGCACCTAGCAAATTCTCAACAAATATTGAAGTGAATGATGAATGAATGAATGCATATAAAATGAAGCCTCTTTTAAACAATCATCCCATCATTAACAGAAGACATATTGCTCTTTTAACTGTGTTTTCTGTTGTTTTGGTGATGCTAGTCTTTAACACTGGAATAACTATACAGTGGCGTCCTTGTCTGAAGAAATGATCAGTTTCTGAAGGGTCAAGTTGCAATACCTATCATCATGCTTTCTCTCCCCATTTTAGGAAATACTTTGCTATTCAAATGGGGAATGGCTAACTATCCAGTGAATTTCTCCTGCTGGTGCTGTTGCCAGCAGGTTGAGCCCAAAGGACTTTAGAGGCACTGCTGCTGCACCTGCAGTGGGATTAGCTGTCAGGGCAGCCTCCAGGGTGGTAGGAACAGCTGAGTGGTGCTCCGTATGCAGCTGCTCTCAGCAGTCAGGTTTATTCACAGGCTTCCCCAAGGTTCAGAGCTATGCTGAGCACTGACCACAAGTAAAGAGGCCAGTCCTCACCATTGTCAATGAGCCTGTTATCCAATTGGGAGTTAGATCAGATATTTTCCTGTATTAGTTTCCTGTTACTGCCATAACAAATAACAGCAAACCAGAGCCTTAAAACAATATAAATGTATCGTTTCCCAGTTTTAGAGCTAGAAACTCAAAACCTCAAAACCAAGGTGTCAGCATGGCCATGCTCTCTCAGAAGGTGCTAGGGGAGGGTCCCTTCTTGCCTCATCCCAGCTTCAGGTGGTTGCCAGCAATCCTTAGCCGTCCTGGTCCTCAAGCTACATTACTTCAATCTCTGCCTCCCTCATCGCTGTGAATCTATTTGTGTCCAAATTGCTGCCTTTCGGTATAAGGACACCAGTTACTGGGTTAGGACCTACTCCAATTCAATATGACTTCATCCTAATTTGATTACATCTGCAAATACCCTATTTCCAAATATCTTTTGGGAAGACAAAATTCAACCCATAGCACTTCCTAATGAATATTTCTTATATTCATGAAAAGACTGTAAGCAAGAACTAGATGCCACACAGGTGAAATTCATGTTAAATCCAGGGAAGTAGAGAGTTACCTTGAGTGAGACGAGGGAGTAGTAAATCTTGAATAATGGTTAGGAGTTAGGTAGATAGGAGGATAAGGACGTGTTATCATCATAAGAACCACTTCTTGATGATCTACTCTGTATTAGACATTGTGCTGGATGCTTAGATGCTTTGAATACATGATCTCTAATCCCCCATTCTCTACAATCTATTAGAAAATGGATTCTGAAGATGTAACATGACTTTTTCGAAGTCACACAGTTGGATGGTGGTAAGGAGAGAATTTTTACCCAGGTCCAACTGATGCAAAAGCATTCTGGCTTAAAACCCAGTCCACTGCACTGCACAGGCTCCTAGGTGGCAACAGGGAGTGAAAATGTGATGTGAGTGCTATGAGTATGTTGTAGAGGATCGACATCACCTGTCTGGCCTGAATGACAGCCTCCTGCTGGGAGGGCAGCTGATGAGCTGGACAGGTAGGTCAGAACCACGTGGTGAAGGCTTCCCTGTCACAATCCCTATCTAGGAGTTGCTAGAATAAGGGAGCCCCGGAAGTGAATTAGCAGGACAGTCCTGTTCCAGCTGCCAGTCATGAGACAGGGGGTGGAAAATATGTGTGAGAAAAAAAATGTGTGTTACTCAGATTGCACATTGGAGACGATTGCTGTAATTCCTCAAGCTTTCAACAAGGACAATGGAAAGAGCCAGCAGATGTATTCTGGTCCCATTTCCGGTACTGCATGGTCTTAGGCAAATCCCTTAGTCTTTCTGTGACTCAGTTTTCTCTTCTCCCAAAGGATGATAATGATGCCTGCCTGAGCCTCCTCGAGGTATCACTGGGAGGGCCACCAGGATAATGTGTTTGGAAGTATTACTACGGACCTAAGAGCCTTGGCAAGACACTGTTGGTGGCCATCTTGAAGCACGGCCCTTCCCTGCAATTGCTTTAGAATTAATGAAAAAGACAAAAAGTTAATGTAAATGTCATTTTAAAAGACAAATAATGTAATTAGATTTGGGTGTTCTGGTTTTTTCCTGGGTGGTGGGGAAGGGTCTACGCAGACAATGGTATGTGTTCGAGTCACAGGGCCTGGGTTGGAATCTCACCTCCACCACTTGATAGCAGTGTGAAGGTTTCTGTCAGTCTCTTGTGTTCTGAGTTTAATCTTTCCTGTGGGTAAAATGGGTGCAGTCAGTACACAGGGACTTTCCATGAAGACTAAATTCAATCCAATATGTGTAGTACCTGATGTAACAGATATTTGATTAATATCTACTGTTGTTATTATTATAGAATGGAATGAGTTTCCTTGTCTTATCATCCTCTTTTTCCAGGCACTAACAAGAAACATCTGCTTTGCTTGGGGAGAAAACAAAGGGTGAGTAAGCTATTCTCTCCTTTGGGCAGAATAAAGTCTTGTCTTCAATAGTTTCCTTTGTGCAAATATTTGTTCTAGACTATTTTGTTTACTAACAATGGGGCTGTTCGGAATGTGTGGTTTTCATGAGTTTCAGAGAATCTTCTTTATTCCTCTTCTCTGAGTTTTATTTGGGCTATGACGTTCCAAGGGCCGGCTCTGAGGCCAGCCAGCCTGCAGACCTCTTGTGACAGGACCACAAGGTCCCGCCTGGCTCTCTCCTCCACCCTCTTCTGGCTTGCTGGGCCTCCTGGTGAGTAAACCTCCTGCTCCATCCCTGCTTACTTCATTGCAAAATGAGGGTGGTAAAAACATTTACTAACCTCAACAGGATATTGTGGCAATTAGTGGATAAATAATTATAGAGCACACTCACATGTAATGCTCCTGATAAAGCTACATTTATTTTTAGGAGCTCACAAAAGGAAGATTTTCCTTCTGAGCATCCAGCTGGTGACTCTTGGAATGGACTGTGATTTTACCTCTGTTGGGTGTGCCTCCATCCTCCTAGGGACAGAATTCTGAACATCCCAACTGGAGGCCCATTTCCCTAGAATGTAACCTTCCAGGACCAGAATTCTCTCCTTTTCAGCAGCACTGAATAAATATAACAGAGTTGTCAGTTAAATTTTCCAGGACTCCCTGTTAAATTTGAATTTAAGACAAACAATAAATAATATTTTAGTATAAGGATGTCTCGCTTCTCTTAGGACTATTGCATGAATCATAATTATTCAAACAATTATTCATCATTTATCTGAAATTTAAATTTAACTGTACCTTTTCTTTCTTTCTCTTTCTTTCCTTCCTTCCTTCCTCCCTCCCTCTTTCCTTCCTTCCTTCCTTCTTTTCTTTTTCTTTCTTTCTTTCTTTCTTTTCTTTTTCTCTCTCTCTTGCTCTCTTTCTTTCCTTCCTTCCTTCCTCTTTCTTTCAATGTTTTGCAAAATCTGGCAAACCTAGGGGTCCACGATGTTGTGTAGCAACCTTCAGGACCATGACATTTAGAAGAAACATAATATGTACCTTCAAGGAAGCACAAACTTGTTCTTGGTGTTAATGCATGACATGCAATTCTGAACCCAAATTATGTAACACTCCTCATTAAGGCAGAAGTCTTTGAATAGGACTGCTCCCCTAGTCCTGCCTTCTACAGTTGTGACTCTAATAGTCAGGTAGTGTCCATCCCATGTGCCTTTATGTAACAATATAGAGAGTGTTTCTTTAACTCTAGGACTTTGTGAAGATGAGAAAATGTTTGAGAAGGATTGAACCTCACACTCAGTAGCAGAATATTTGGTTGAACTTATACCATTCATGTTTTTCAAGGTCAAAAAAAAAAACAGTCAACAGCAGCAATTTTACATGTTCAACCTATTCCTGCAAGCTCCCATTCAAGAAACCATTGCAGACACAGAGCAGGCTCTGCTGTCTGGTGCCTGCACCTCCTCCATCACCCAGCTGGATCTGCTTCTGGGTGACGTGACCACCTGCTCTGTTAGGACATTTGCTCTGTTGGGGCACGTACTCTGCTAGAGTACTTGCTTCCAGCATTATGCACTTAAGATGAGGTCTCAGTCTACGCTTATGTATTTTCCCAAGGTAGTGAATGTTTACGAATTGACTTCAATGGAAGGCATTGGTTCTTACAAAATTCTCTGGAAAAGGATGATTGTGGAGATTAAGTTCTGGTAATAACTAAGTAGCTTAGTAAGACTAAAGCCTGACATAATAAGGGCAATTTTTTCAAAAATATTTTAAAAACCTAGAGAGTGAGCAGAAGCAGGTAGAAACTGGAGTGGAGTTTACTCTTGAAAGATGGGATTTGGGAGTTTACAGCTTCTTTTATTTTTTATTTTTCTTGAGAGAACTACCCTTACCACCATCCCCCTACAGGCAGAAAACATCAGCCTTACTGGCTTGAGGTAGATGTAATATGTACAACAACAGTATCACAAAGTGTGTTGTGTGTGTGTGCATATGTGCACATGTGCAGTGTAGGGCATCAGAGTATGCCACCCCAAACTATGCCACTTTGGTGTAAAGATATTTTGAGCTAAAGGCAAATGAGAATCAACAGATGCAGAAAGAAGCCTCCTTGGAGCTTCCCTTATCTGACTACGAACAGAATATTCTGAAAAATAGGACTGCAATAAATCCCTTCTCCCAGGGGAGTTTTGTGGCCATGAAGGCACAGTCAGCACCAAGATGGGTCCACATGTAGACCTTACTAAAAAACCCTATCTACTGTTAGTTTCCCCCATATTTCTACCTTCTCACAGTTTGACACCCAGAAAAGCTGAAACTCCTTTGTCTTGTCACTTCTCTAAAATTTTATTGTTCTTTGTTAAGGTGAGAAATATGGCCAAGTTCTAACCGCTCTTTTGAGTTACTCATGACTGAGTTCTCCTGTGTGTGTGCACACTGACCTGTTAATAAACTGTTTTTCTCTTGTTAATGTCTCTTGTCAGTTTAATTTCCAGAGCCCCAGATAGGGAACCTAGGAAGGGAGGGAGAAGATAAAGGTTTTATCCTCCCCCACAGAAGCATATGGAACTCTACTGCTATAAGGTTCTTATGAAGTATATCAAGCTGTACAATATTACCTCTAAAAGGATTGTGATAAAGTTGTATATTGTAATCACTATAGTAACTACTAAAAAATGCAAAGAGGCAAAAATACTAAACGTTGTTATCTTTATAAATGTTAAGAAGATTTTATGTAGAAGAAAGTAGGGGCTGGGTGCGGTGGCTTACGCCTGTAATCCCAGCACTTTGGGAGGCCAAGGCGGGTGGATCACGAGGTCAGGAGTTCAAGATCAACCTGGCCAAGATGGTGAAACCCTGTCTCTACTAAAAAGACAAAAATTAACTGGGCATGGTGGCATGTGTCTGTCATCCCAGCTACTTGGGAGGCTGAGGCAGAGAACTGCCTAAACCCCAGAGGCGGAGGTTGCAGTGAGCCGAGATCGCGCCACTGCACTCAAGCCTGGCGACAGAGCGAGACTCCATCTCAAATAAACAAACAAAAAAAGGTAGGGAAGGGAAAATAGGGAAAATAAAAATAGATGAGAAAATAAGAAATAAGTATGAAGCCAGTAGACTTAAACCATATCAGACAAGCAAGATCTAATTATATGCTGTCTTCAAGAAAAGCATTTTAAACATAGACACACAAAAAGGATAAAAGCAAAAAGATGAAAAATGTTATTATGAAAATGATAAGCATAAGAAAACTGGTGTGGCTATATTACTTTTGGAGAAAATAGATAGCAAGGTAAGGAGTATTACTAAAGAGAAAGAGAAAGATTTTATAATTCCAAAAGGTCCAATACATCAGGAAGAAATAATAATATACAGTACTTCAAACTACCTGCAGCAAAAAATGAGAGAGATAAAGGAAGAAGAAGAAGCTCCCCAATCATGACTGGAGATTTTAACACCCTCCTCTTAGGAACTGATAGAACAACTAGAACAAGAAACATTATTATCAAGAAAATAGAAGCTATGAATGACACTATCAACCATCTTGACTTAATAGGTATTTATAAAACACCACATCTAACAAATGCAGAATAATCATTCTTAGCAAGTGCGCATAAAACATTAACCACAGTGGAGCATGTCATACACATCTCAGTAAATTTTGAAAGACTAAAATTTTAAAGTATGTTCTCTGTGCACAAGTGAATTAAATTAGAAACCAATAAGATATCTAAAAAAGCATCAAGTATTTAAAATTAAACATTTTTCTAAATACCTCCTTTTTTTTTTCTTTTTTTGAGACAGAGTCTTGCTCTGTCGCCCAGGCTGGAGTACAGTGGCTCAATCTTGGCTCACTGCAACCTCTGCCTCCTGGGTTCAAGCAATTCTCCTGCCTCAGCCTCCCGAGCAGCTGGGATTACAGGTGCCTGCCACCATGCCTGGCTAATTTTTATATTTTTAGTAGAGAAGGGGTTTCACCATCTTGGCCAGGCGGGTGTTGAACTCCTGACCTCGGGATCCACCCACCTCAGCCTCCCAGAGTGCTGGGATTACAGGTGTGAGCCACCATGCCCAGCCAATAACTCCTTTTTAAAGAAGAAATCACAAGATAAATTAGAAAATACTTCAAACCGAACAATAATAAAAATACGACATATCAAAATTTATAGACCATAAATGAGTAGAGAAAAAAATTATAACTTTAAATGTTTACATTAGAAAGGCTTAATGTCAACTATCCAAGTATTCATCTTTTTTAAAAAAATGAGTAATATAAACCCAAAGCAAGCAGAAGAAAAGAAATAAGTCAGAATTCAATGAAACAGAAAATAAAAACAGAGAAATATTTAAAGACAAATTTGATTCTTTGAAAAGGTTAATCAAATTAATAAACCCTAACAAGACTGGTCAAATAAAATAAAAGGGAAAAAATAATTTTTCAATATCATAAATGAGAGTATAGGATATCACTTCAGACCTTATAGTTATCAAAAGGAATTTTTTTTTTTTTTTTTTTAGATGGAGTCTCACTTGGTCACCCAGGCTGGTGTGCAGTGACACAATCTTGGCTCACTGCAACCTCTGCCTCCCAAGTTCAAGCGATTCTCCTGCCTCAGCCTCCCGAGTAGCTGGGATTACAGGTATGTACCACCACACCCAGCTAATTTTTGTATTTTTAGCAGAGATAGGGTTTTACCATGTTGGCCAGGCTGGTCTCAAACTCCTGACCTCAGGTGATCCTCCTGCGGCCTCCCAAAGTGCTGGGATTACATGCATGAGCCACCATGCCCAGCTGGAAACATTATCAACAGCTTTATGTCAATAAATTTAACAATTTAAATGAAATTAATAGATTCCTTGAAAAATACAACTTACGAAAACTAACACAGATGAAATTTTAAAAATCTGAATATCTCTATATCTACCAAAGAAATCAAATTCACACTCAAAAACTTTTCCTATGCGGTTTCTCTGGCAAATTAAACACTTAAGAAAGAAATATACCATAGTGAACATTTAAGGAACATATTAAACATTTAAGGAAGAAATGATACCCATCTTACCCAACTCGTAGGAAATAGAAAAGAAAAGCATAGGCCAGACGTGGTGGCTCATGCCACTAAGTGCTTCAAAGGCTGGAACAGCTGATCCATTAAAATCCTGTGGTCTGATAGAAAGATCTATTGAAAACCTATAGCCTACATCATACTCAATGGTGATATACTGAACACTTGCCCCATAAGATCAGGAAAAATGTAGAGACGGCCATTCTCACCGTTTCTGTTAAACATTGTACTGGAGATCTGTGGTGGTCACGAGAATACACTTTGTACACCTGCTACTAAAGAGAATGTAATTGACCAAGGGCCCCAGCCATTGAACTCTGAAGTTGATTGGAGTCACAGGACTCTGGCTCAGTGATATTCCTTGCAGATATTCCTCATGCAACATAGCAGTCTAGAGTGATTCCAGTTACTTGTCCTTCCCTTTCTCCTCTACTTTCTCACATCAATGTCTGATGGCTCTTCCAGCTTGTGGGGCTCCCTCTGCATTTTGTATCCGATAGGCATTTTCCCCAATAAAATCCTTGTTTTTTTAGGAGACAGACAGGGTCTCAGTCTGTCAGCCAGGCTAGAGTGCAGTGGCACAATCATAGTTCACTGCAGCCTTGATCTCCCGGGCTCAGGTGATCCTCCTCCCTCAGCCTC